CATCAATTGTCACACCTCGGAATTAACGCCACGGTCAAGCTCGTAACTCAATGTTACGTGTTTCCGTCGATTAGGGCGGATTGTAGGAGGTGGGCCCGGCACTGTTTTGGTTGTTAGCGAGCCGACATGCGTCAGCCCCCACAGAATCGTGCGGGAACGAGGAAGGTGCGACGAACTTCAGCCAAGAATTGAAAAAGCACTTTCAACAGCTTCAATCGATCCACGGAACCAGGCACGGAAGTAAAAGGATCTTCGTCTTCAGAGACCTATCCACCTATACACATGTTTGGATTCGCTTGGGTGGAGAACACCACGCGTCGTTGGAAGTCCCATACGAGGGCCCATATCCCGTCACCAACCGGAACGACAGGACGTTCACCCTGGAGAAGAAAGGAAAGGAAATTACCGTTTCAATCGACCGCTTGAAACCAGCCTAATAATCCAGGACCCCAGCAGACAGACCTTGCTCCACCAACAACGCGATATGGAAGACGCGTTAGATTCCCTGACCATTTCCAGGCAGGTCTCTAGTATCGTGTTTCCCAATCCATGGTCAAACACTGGCAGGGGGGTCTGTGTGGCGAACATCTGGACGCCAGAGAACCTTCTAAACCGTTCAAAAAAATCTCTCTCCGGTCATCTGGGCAGGACACCCTTTTGGTCCAGGCAAAGGGTTCCCGGAAAACTTTCACCGGAGATATTACTGGTCGCCAGAAAGCGTTCGAAACTATTCAGAAGAACTCTCTCCGTACATCTGGACAGCAGATCCTTTTGGTCCAGACAAGGACTCGAAGAGAGCTTTCACCGGGGATGTTACTGGACTCGGGGATAAAAGGAACCAGGATCGGCCCAGAGAGTTCAGTCAGTTGCCATCAGTTGTCAGTTACATCCCAAGTGCAACGCCAATTCAAAGTTTTAAAGGTTTCATGAAACTCGTGATATGCCTAATGATTACCCGCTTCCTCCTGCTGTCTCCGCAGTTCAATTTTTAATTTGTTACTGAAACCATGCACATTCTCCAGCTTTACGGTAAGTGGGATATTGTTATAAATGTTAAGCACACAGTAGGAAAAGACTCGTGCCGGCTCAAGCCGGTGCTTTAGTATTGTTAATGTGTAACGGTGCCTAACATTTATATTATGAATATGGGTATGATAGAAAAATTTTTGTATAAATAAGGAGGGATTTTGTGATACTGACAAGCGGAGTGTAATATTCTACATAGTGATATCAGCCAACGGAGTGTATCAGAAATTCTCTCACGTCCTCTGATGCCAAAGATAAAGTGAAGACAAGAATTCTGCACCAGCTGAATACGAGATCTATTCGCGGCATCGATGCAAAAGTGGTAAAGAGCATCCCCATAATTAAAGATGGATAACACATGTGACTCGTGTAAATGTTGATGGAATAAGATTCTATTTGAATACAAAAGCTTAACGGTGGTTAATAGGCTTTCTGAAGGGGATTACTGACATGAACTTTAAATTTCAAATCAGAGTTCATGGCAATACCCAAATTACGGACAACATGTGTAAAGCATTAATAGAAGCAATGGCGTTTGGCGCTGTGAACTAGTAATTTCAAGTCATAATTCATTAGAGATTGCGACTCACCTAAGTTATCC